ATTAATTAAAATCAAATCTAAAAAAATACACTTCCCTTTGCTTTATTACTCCATTCTTGCGTACGAAGTGGAATTAGCTTTTGATTAAAAAATATTTCCAGTGTTCGTGCTAAATTAAATTCAAATGAAATGAAAATCACAATTATGTTCTTTGGGAATTATTTTATAAAAGCTTTGGTTAAGCATTTTATGGGCGGCTTTTTGCTGTACGTAGAACAAATGACAAAAGGATTACTATCATCAAACAATATGAAATGATCACAAAGCCTTTCATCCAAGAACTATCTGGTTTTGAAACAAAAGAACGCCACTCGCCGTCTATACTAATATTATAAAGAGGAAATGTTTGTATTTATTGAAATAACTCAAAAATGACTTGGCCGATTTCGAAAATTCTTTCACTATTCAAAAGCTATGTTATCACTGAGTAACATAGGACATATTTTTACATTCCACGCACACGAAGTCGCGAACAAGAGCATGTCATTCTTATTAACAAGTGATGATCATAACTTGAAGCAAAGAGACGAGTAGATACAGATCTTTACATAGTATAGATTGTAACTTTTGTTCCAGAGTGTACAACATCATCATCATCGAGCGTACTGGGCGGCATCACGACGGTGTCTGTTGCGGTAACGGGGCTGGAGACGCGGCCGTTGTCGCGCAAGGTGCGTCCCAAGCCGGCTTCGCCTAACCGACAAGGACCGCAGCAATGTCAGGTAATAACAAACTAGCCTCGTTGCTAAGTAGTGCGTGGATAGATCCAATGCTGTCATGCGACTTTTACTACAGTTGTCAATAAATGTTGGTCGAATTACTGCCTTTAGACGTACATATCTTACTGATTGGACTTCTCATACAGATATGAATGTTCGGACGTAAAATATGGTAGTGTCGTCATAAACATAAGTTATTCATGTCATTGATTTTGTCAAAATATAAGTGCAAATAATACATAATCTAAATAAACGTTCATTAACAATGGCATAAAATAGAATGTGGTTAATAAAAGAAAGAAATATTTAGAGCAATATAATTTATGCGACTCCGCGCTCTTTCATTTTCTTTACACATTCGTTGTTATTATTACACGTTGTGAAGGAGAAATGTTATTTCATTGCCCTTGAGAGTAAGTGTACAAGATATAAAAGAGAGTAATACTGTTTTTTATATTAAAAGTGAAACGCAACACTAAAAAGTTTCTGGTATAAATAAACAAGTATAGTGGTAGTAAACTAGATAAAAATAGTTCCGACAATGGAAAAAGCTCTTTATGAGCTTTGGAAATAGAAACTTAAGTTCTGTACCTAATTTTAATGACAAAAATAATATCTACAAAGAATACGTACTATGTAAATAAAAACTCTGTCATCATGCCTCAAAACTATTATACTTTTGTTATATCATAAGGTAGAAAACAGGCAAGCCACTTAAATCCGCCGAAATGGCGAAGCAACGGCTGCCCATAGGCATCCGCAATAGCGGATGTTTTGCCTACCCTAAATCGACGGAGGAGGAGACACACACGAACAGGAAATTTTCCCATCTTATGCGTCTCCTCCACCGTCAAATCCAAGTTCTCTTCCCATCCTTTTCTCATAAGAAAAGGGGTGGGAAGGAAAAGGGGGTAAAGTTAGACCTCTGGCACCACACTCATTAGACGAAACGCGGAATTGCTCCCACTTCACGCCTGTCTTCTTTATGGTCGTGGTGTTGCACCGGGCGAGCCGACTCGCTCGTACGCAGATGTCAAAGCGGGCTCTACCACTGTTAAACATATTTCTAAACACTACAGAACTTATTTCGTTGTAATCCATATTAGTAACGTAAAACACTCCCTTTTCCAAAACTGTATTTATCTAACGAAATATGAACAATGAAATGATTAATAAAAATAACACAATATGACAAGACCAGTCTTCTATGTTTCCGGTCCCGTGACGATTGACAGGTTTCTATTCAATACATTTGTCTTACATTCGACAAAGGTTCACGCACACATATTAATGTAACAAACACAAGCGAACATGCCCATTTACTCGTATATTTCATATCGAAACCCTTTATTGTAAGGTAAGGGCATTTTTCTAGTTCAATGAACAATACATTGTTATTGCCACTTGAAGCTTTATCGATATGGGCATTCAATTTCTATTCAGAATCTATTACTAGCATATATATTATCTACCTCGTGTACAGAATAAAAAAAAGGGGTTTTTGTATGAATTCTATATACAAAAAAAATTTAGACATACTCGTACGTACAACTTGGTTCATGACCGGTATTTAATTATTAAGTAATGAAAAACTGATAAGCCAATTATCATGTGTCTTGGCTATTTGTTATACGATATTAAATGCGATATTTGTTATGTATTTCACACTAGCTTTCGCCCGCGACTCCGTCTGTGTAGAATTAAAAAAACAAAAGTGTGTAGCCTATATGTTCTTCCAGACTATCCTCTGCATCTATACCAAATTTCATCGAAATCCGTTCAGCCGTTTAGGCTACAAACTCTAACAAACTTCCGTCCATTTAAACTTTCGCATTTATAATATTAGTATGATTTGCAGTACAAGACTCAACCGTAGATAACATACAGTTACAAATGTATACTAAACGAATCCTTCATTTACATACAAAATCAAATTTACACATGTATGCGAGTAAACAAGGATATGAAAATCGAATTTATAAAACGGGATTTACGAGTGATGGGCTGTCAGTGGGAAATTCGAAAAGGCAAAGGATCAACGTAAGATGGCAGCACGAGACTTTAATCTGTAAATCCTTAAGACTGGCACGCATCATCCTTTCTCATAACCTATTTTGACACAAATATAACTGCCGCATGTATCAGGTCTCCCTTAGTGTGGATTAAATATGACTGTCTACCCTAAGTTTCTCCTTTTATTACCAAGGAACTATTGAGCGTGGTAGTAACTACAGATCTTGTAATGGTTACTTAAACATTTGCATAAAAAGTTGCTTATAATTGTTAGCTTTTTAACTATTTTGATGTATTCTGTATTTTTGAAGGTTATTTAGTCTGTGCTATAAGTCGATGCCATTGGTCATAATTTGAAATAACGATATTAGCTTTGTAATTGTGATCCAAAACATTATTTAAATATTTATGTCATGGTTTTAAAAAGTCGGAATGTAGTCGGATGCCAAAAAGAAGGGTGTTGCATTAGCTCGACGACACGACGGCCATATTGGTAAGGTTATTCTGTGCAAATTGGAATAAAACATAAGAGGTAAAGAAGACTTTATATTTTATTAAAGCATAACATGGCTGTGATGCCTATGTAATAAAGTAACATACACTGCGCACTTCGTCGCACCCACTGACAGTCATATAATGAACGCTTAGATCCTTGTAGTAGATTATAGTAGTGAGTTATATTTTAAAACGTGTTTTAAATTGGTAAACAACACACTCCATCCCTATCTATAACCAACCTTTTTGAACAATACACAAACAAAGGGATCTAAAACCACTAAACGACTATTTGTTTCAACGGAATTGTTCTGTAACTTGTAACTTTTGCAATTCGTAATATAAAATATATAGTTTATAGGTCAAAGATCTTTAATCATATTAGTAGATATTTTTATCTATAATTCTTTCATGTTTATTTTTTTATGAAAAGAGATAACGAGGCCTTATTAGATTGAGACGATCGAGGACGAAGTATTAACTTACTTCAGACTTAGTAGACAAATGTCTTACACGTGTAGTTCTACATTATAAGAGCGTGCGCACACCTGAAACTAAACTATCGCACAACTGATTAATCTCGCGTTGATTCTATGACCTTATCTGGTAGTGCACGCACTCGATGTTTAGTTATGCAAGTAAACAATTGATTTGGCTGCAAAACAATCGACAATCGCACAACAGTTGTTCGATAATTTTGTCAAAGATAAAAACATGTATTTTTATAACTACAATCAATAACAAATGACTATCAATATACCTTTAATTTGCCAAATATACAAATGGGTGGAATTCAGACGAAAGGGAAACGGCGAATTGTGTTTATAGGTCAGCGTTATATCAACAAAGGAGGTGAAGGTGGGGTAAAAGTCTGGGGGAGTAACGTAAAGGGCGCGTGACGTCACTCCCCATTATTCAAAGCCATGACGAACCGCTCTTATAGAAACTTTACGTAACGGGATATTCTGTAGGTGGAAAAGTAACGGTTATCGTGAAACATGAGTCCACAAGGAATAAGGGTTTTGGACATTATTGCGTTAAAATTAACAACACATTTATACGAGAATTGTTCACTAATGACCTAATTATAATAATATTGTTCCAAGTCTTATTAAATCTTGATAGCGATTATTACAAATTTGAGAATATAGCTCTTATAACGCTGTAGTCTGTAGTACATAAGATTTAACAAGCCATCTATCCTCAGTTCGAGATAATACCAATTAAGAAACTAACACTAATGATCAGCGCTTCCAGTTTTCATGTCTATAGCCATCATAATTTAATATCTTCACCAAAATTCGGAGTTACAAGCGGGGAGCGGAGTGAGGGAATGAGATTCGAACTGATACTGCTAATTGGGCCGTCTGGGTAATGGCCTTGATGGTCCTTACCAATTAAACGTTATTGATGTCGCTCGCTGTAGATCTGGAGGCGACCCTCGTCTCGTTTTAACCCCATCTCGCTATTCTGCTAATAATTAATCAACCAATTACGAATATCCAACAAACGGCTCTCTTGTTTTCCTTCAATTGTTTCGGTGCACAACGCCTTGTATTATTCGATTGTTTATTACTTACAAAATACATTACAAGAGCGTTTCAGGCTTTTCAGGTTTAGCTGTTAGGGTATTCTCTTTCTAACAAGTTCTGCATAATTATAACGTAACGATTCTATATAATTAAACCTTATTATCCTGTACTTTTTGTTTGAAACATCCTACCATAGTTAGAAAAGAAAACTTTTCCCTCAATTATTTTAAAATGCTGGAAAATATCCAATATTACGGTAGTGCCAATAATGCAGTTTTGGAAATATTCCAACATAGGTTTTAAGGTTTTAATAAAACTCATTCAGGCTTCGCAGGAGTAACATTTGTCTATACGTACCTTGCAACAGTTAAAGGACAATTGAAAATAATTATGCAGCGACTAAAACTTCTCATCAAATAGACAATATAAAAAATATTTCTTTATCCATAGATAATACTATACTAATGGTTTCATCGCAGTTTTTTTTAAAAACTAAATGTTATCGAACAACCGATCGTAAAGCTCTGATTGCCTAATACTATTCAAGTTTTTACAACTTTTTTTTTGTTTTACGATGTAAGTACAGTAAGCCTTGTTCTTTGTTCCCGTTACCGACAAGTTCCCGACTCGAGGAGGACGGGAATAATAATTCCAGAAGTGTTTTGTTCCCGCCAACCTGTGACTTTTACAATCCCTTACACAAACTTTATGTGTTTCATTTTCGCTGAATAGCAATTCTACAAAGTATCTAAGGATTATTAAGTTTCGATTGTAACGAAACATTGTTTGTTAAAAGTAACATAAAATTTATTAAAAGTACATTCAAACATTACGAATTTTTTGCTCGCTTTAAATATTCCAGACATTTGCTTACAATGCAATTCAATAGCTTCTAATAGCAACCATCTTGCGAAATCATAGCTCAGTTTACTATATTCGGTGCTGAGTGGGAAGGAAATTTAA